TTGTGTCTTCCCCATTTTTATGGATCCAGGAAATGTTGTTGATTTTTCAATCTGTTCTTGTTGTTAGGATGGAGTAGAGACTTCCAAGCTTCTTATATGCTAAATCGGAAACTGAAAGTGCTGTGATATCTCTTCATTTCCTAAAAGTTAAATTACTGGATCAAACATTGTGTGTATTATTAAAATCTATGTGTGTATTTTCAAAGTATTTTCCAGAAAACTTGGACCAGTTGCCCTTCTAGCGAGTGTATGAAAATACCCATTTCCATGCACTATTAACAAAAAAATGGATCCTTAATAAAAACAGTACCACAGAGTCTAAAATGGTGTCTATTTGTTATTCAACTTTTTATTTCTTGAAATAGTAGTGGGATTAAGCATTTTGCATTTTTGGACCATTTATGGGTCTGTTTATTTTTATGTATTCCAGTGCATGCCTTTGCTTATGTTTCTATTGGGATGATAATTTTTTTATGTATTTATGAAGGGCCATTAGACATTAAGAATATTAGTATCATTTCCTTTTGCAAATATTTGTCCTCTGTGTTTTCAGTGATTTCACTCACTGTAACATGCTGCAATTCAGACCAAATTGTTGCCAAAAATATTGCAGGGAGATTGCTCAACCTCCACACTTTCACATATTTCTTTTTTTTTATTTCTTTTAATGTTTATTTATTTTTGAGAAACAGAGACAGCGTGAGCAGGGGAGGGGCAGAGAAATAGGGAGACACAGAATCTGAAAAAACAGCTTCCAGGCTCTGAGCTGTCAGCAGAGAGCCCGACGCAGGGCTCGAACTCAGGAACCGCGAGATCATGACCTGAGCCGAAGCCAGACAATTAACCAACTGAGCCACCCTGGCGCCCCGCCACTTTCACATATTTCTATGCCTCTGGTTATTCCAAGTAAGTTTGATGCTGTTGTTCTAGGAGACAGAAGTCAGCTACAAGGTACTGTTGTTGTTCTAGGAGACAGAAGTCAGCTAAAAGGTATGAGGATCTTAGAAAAACTATTTCTGGTGAAGCATAGTATTTATTTGTCCATTAATTTAATGAGTTGTATGCTTATTTGATTCCAGATACCCTTTAGTCAGTAGTTCTCAATATGAGTGTGCATTAGAATCATCTAGGTTGCTTCCTAAAACAATAGACACACGTTGACTTTCATCCTCTAATTTTAAAAGTGGGTCCAGAAATCTGCATTTTTAATAAGCTCCCTGGGTAATTCTGATGAATGTGGCCTCTAACCAAATTCTTAAAGGCAAAATAGTTTGGAAAATAAATGATATTAAAATAGACAACTGGAATATAATGGGAACTATATGTTTGGAATGATATAGAAAAAATATCTACTATGATTTCTGCTGGTGAAGGACAGGTGAGTGGTTTAGGAGATATGTAAATTGGGACCCAAAGAATGAGGGCAATTATTATAATAAGACTGAACAGAATCTAGCATGATTAATGCATTGCATAAAGTGTACAACTGATAACAGACAAAACTAGAGAACTAGGAAGACTTAGATCATGAAGAGTTTTATAAGATGTATGAAGAATCTAGATTTAGTCCTGAGGTCATGGGAAGTCTTCAAAATATTGTATAAAAAATTTATAAGGTTCACATTTTATGATACACTATCAATAAGAGAGTAAATGACCCCACAGAAGAATACTTAAGGATACTTGTTGTGTTAATCCAGGAATCCATGCCTCTAAACTGGTGGGACAAAAGTAGTAAGTGGGACAACTGGACATCGCCAGTGAAAAGGGTAAGTGATAGCAATTGCTCTAAGGAGTAAATGTTGCTATCCATGAAGGAATAAGACTCCAAATCACTCTTATTATTCCTATAAGGCATTGTTGGACAGTATCCATTTTCATCCTTATTCTTGATTCTTCTATCTTTTTAGTCCCCAAAATAGTTTACTAGAAATACTTTCAAGAGGACTAAGTATACCTTAAAAACATTTTCTCCTTTCAGAAAGTGAACAAAATGTCAACACTTTTTCCTGAGATTATGAGCCCTATACTTACTTTAGCTGCATTCATTACCAAAAGGTTATGATCAAAGGTTACCTGACTAATGCTCTGCTTTTGAATAATTTGCTGTAGTTATTATCAAAATAGAGACTATTTGCTGAGTTGCAAATGTATGTCAGGTTCAATGAGATAAGATGCATTACCAGTTTGAAGATGGTGAATTCGAGGCTCAGTTTTCACTTAAATACCCAAGATCCTACACTCATAAGCAATGTAACAGGGATTCAAAGCCAGGTTGTTAATATTGTCTTTGTTTAATCTGAAAGCCCATGCTCTTTCCAGTATTTGAGGCTGCCTAAAAGATTTTAAGACCATTACTAGTATGAAATATCTATAAAGAAAAATGATGGGGGAGGCTACCAATAGTCAAGAGCATATTGTTTCTAATTAGGTGTTTCGTAAGGGAGTCAGCAATAGATTCTTCCCTGACTGTGTGAGCAGATAAGTGACAAGTCCACCACCCATATGCTTGCTACAGGACTTGAGATGATTGGAAGAAAGTTCACCCATAGTTCTTTTTCTTCCAACCTCTTTATCTCAACAAAGTTCTGAACTAAGAAGGAAAGAGATTCGAACTTTGATTCACCAACATCCAAAGATTTCCGTACACTGACAAGGACCTAAGCAAAGTCATTATGTCAGAATTGACTAGCTGTTCACCAAAGTCATATTTCACTTTCCAGAAGATGCTAAGTGACAAACTGCTCAGCAAGGGGCTACATTTCCTAATCCTACTTGGAACCAAGAATGGTCATATGACTGGTTTTCCTTTGAAATGGGACTGGAAGAGACAGGTTTCAACTTAGAGTTTGTAAGAATCAGTTGGGGCACTTAAATTCTAATGTTTTCCTCCTCTAGGTTGGATGAAGAGGGCTTTGTGTTCCTAGCAGCTGGCAGGTCCACAAGGTGACAGAAGCCTGAATCCCTAAATTACTATGAGGAGGAAATCCATCTACTGACTAGGAACTTCCACCTAGCACTGTAAACTTGAACGAAATATAAACCTTTTAAAGTATCAATCTGCTGGTTATGGCAATTGATGTTACCCTGATACATAAAATCAACAAAAATAATTAAATATCACTAATTACAATAAGGAATAAACAAACTGGGAGAATAAAATGTCTGCTATATGTATATGTAAGTGAACACTTAGCTGAATCACAGGAGCGTGTGATGGTGACATACTTCCAGGTTGAGTTAACAAATTTGCACAACTGAAGACATAGACATGGGCTCAGTCTAATCCTAGCTCAACACAGACCAAAGGTTAGGCTTCTGCTAAACGTTTGACTTTTTTAGTGTGCTCAGCATGTGCAGTTGTCTCTGTGGGTCTGAAGACATCCAACATGCGAAAGAACAAGTCTCACCACATGTGTTTCACCTACTATGTTCTAGATAATGTGCTGGAAACACATCATGAAGAGAAAGAAATTTGGTTTAACATCTAACCACCCTGAGAAACCATCTATAAAAAGTAGCAGCCTAATCAGAATGCCATTGCACTGCATCCCATGTGACCCACTTATATTTTGGATGTTTCTTTCCAGAATTAGCAGTCTACAAATTAAGGCAAAGGTTAAGAGCAATTTCCAGACCCAACATGACTTGATAGTTCCAACTATCCGTTGTCCCTTATTGATTTAGTTGGCAGAACCAGCATGTGTTCTTTAAACACATTTGTCCCCTTGAAATCTCTGTGCACTCATTCTCTGCCCTGGAGGTATGGGATGATATCCGTCTGATGAGACCCATCTGTCAACATCCAGCAAAGAAAGAACTGTAATCCCATTTCAGGGACTGAAGCTTGCCATCTGCTAAGGCTTCAACTGTGCCTTTTTAGATACTTTACTAAACTAATAAGGAATGTGAAGACATTATCTCAAATTTGGTGAGTGGCTATGAAGTCATAAATTAAATTAAGCATAAGGCTGATGTTCTCACTATGAGACAGTAAGTTTCTTGTCTGGGTATTTGTTGGCTGAGCAATTCTTCTGGGAAGAGAATAAAAAATGTTTTATTGATAGGGCTCTCTTTTCATCACTTGTACAAGACTAAGAACTTGGCATGATCTTAGGTGGAAAATTTGGCACTTAACATCAGATGTGTGGTTTATTTTCCACATTTTATAATTGTACAGTTCTTCCAGCTGCTCAATCCATTCCAGTCCAATGAGTCTGAATAATGCAAATTCTAGTGTGAGAGGGACTTATGACTGTTAGAAAAAAACTAGAATCACAGAAAAGTGAAAATTGAACAAAACGCCTTAATCCTACTTTTAACCATTTTCTGTTTTTCCATTTGAGCTTTTCCTGTACATATCTGTACATGAGTGACGAACTGTGCACAAATATATGCCCTATTCTTTTCACTACATTTTTAAAAACAGTTTCTCATTTTGCTTTATTATTACAAACTTTTTATGCTTACTATCTTCAACTGTGTCAGGCATGCAGGCAACTTACTAGCAATTTCTTCTGCCTGTAATTATATACTTTTTTCACTTGAATTAGTTTAGATTTTCATTCATATGTCATTTTCTCAGTGCCACATCCCCTCCTTTGTTTTTATCCCCGGCATTTATCAGTATCCAGTTTATTATTTATTTACACATTTATTTTCTTTATTATCAGTCTTCTCTCCTAGAAGTTTGGCTTTAAGAATGGAATGCTTTTCATTAGTTTTAAATAGAGCTGCACCCCCTTATCTACAGGGGATATGTTCCAAGACCCTCAGTGGATGCCTGAAACTGCAGATAGTACCAAACCTTATACATACTATGTTTTTTCCTATACATACATTCCTATGATAAAGTTTAATTTATAAATTAGGCACAGCAGGAGGTTACCAATAGTAAGTAATAATAAAATAGAAGAATCATAAAAATATACTATAATAAAAGTTATGTGAATGTGGTTTCTCTCTTGTGTGCACAAAATAACTTGTTATACTGTACTCACCCTTCTTCTTGTTGTGATGCTGTGAAATTATAAGATGCTTGCGTGATGAAGTGAGGTGAGGTAAGTGATGTAGGCATTAGCCTACTTTAGTACTGACCTTCTAATGTGAGAAGGAGAATCGTCTGCTTCCAAGACCACAGCTGACCGTGAGTAACTGAAACCACAGAAAGTGAAACTGGGTATAAGGGGAGGGGGGTGGGGACCAATGCACTGCTTTGTTATACCCAGTGCCTTAGAATAGTGCTTAGTTCATAGTGAACATGCAATAAATATAATTTTAAAAACTAATGAGTTTATAGTGGATAAAATAATATTACATTATTTTATATATCGTATTTTTAGTCCAGTCTGGATTTTTTTTGCTTATATTATACTATATTTTATTATAAAAATTTGTTGCAAATATTTAACCTAAACTAGGAAAATGATGGATTTTTTTAAATATAAAAATCAATGGAATAAGCCATAAAACCTACATATTTGATTAAGTAAAAATTTTTAAATTTCATGTTTTAAAAATATCAAAATAAAACAAATGAACAAATGCTACAGAAGTGGCTATATTCATTTGAATACAGAGAAAAAAATAGTTTGGAAGTCTATGGTAGCCATCTTTTCTTCTGATGGCTCTATCAGTAAAAATTTTTTTTCTTAATGTTTTTATTTTTATTTTTGGGAGAGACAGAGCACGAGCAGGTAAGGGGCAGAAAGAGAGAGGGAGACACAGAATCCAAAGCAGGCTTCAGGCTCCAAGCTATCAGCACAGAGCCAGATGCAGGACTTGAACTCACAAACTGCAAGATCATGACCTGAGCCAAAGTCAGACGCCCAACCAATTGAGCCACTCAGGTACCCCTATCAATTTTAAGTTCAAAATAGTTCTCCCTTCAGAATTTAACAAATATTAATGCTTATTTTATTTTGTATTCTTTATGATTTTATTTTCCAGTACTCTTTAATTGTATTAGTAAATTTAATTATCTGTTGTCTTGTGTTCACCCTTAAATAACTAACTCTTGCACACATCTGATTTTCTTTCTGTCCCAAAGTCAATCTCCTCTTCCTCTGTTAACAGCATCCTGATTTTTCTCTGTGAAACCACCCTTTCCTGGCTAGTAACATAAGGGACTTCACATGTATGCAATAGACTTGGATGAATAGGTATTTACAAATTATTGTTATAAATACTATTATTATTATTCACAAATCAGTGTGTGGAACAGTCCAGTGAAAGTCAACCAGGTAATTTCTCAACCCAATGGGGAATAAGTTCCCCTTTCCGCTGGAGTTGCTCTACTAGTCACATGCCTGCCTGAGGCTGCCTGTCATCATAGTTGTGCTCATAGGGGTTTGGGGAAACCAGAGAATAAAGTCATCACAAAGAAAAGGAGAGTCAATAAATTGGGAATTGACAGTGTCTTGATGGCCTAATTTAAACTCTTTGATTCAGTCATGCTTATAGTGAGCCCTGCATCTTCTGTTGTATAAACCAGTTCCTATTTTTCTTTTGAATTTAGTTTTGACACTTGCAAACTATAAAGATTCTAGTGCACTAAATGATTTTCATAATAGGATTTATAGAATATTCTATCCCTTGTCCAACAAACCGTGCTATTGCTTGCTTTTATCATAAAATAATTTTTACATAAAAAGTATCTTTTCTTTTTTTAATTTAAATACAAATTAGTTAACATATAGTGTAAAATGATTTCAGGAATAGAATTTAATGATTCATAACTACATATAACACCTAGTGCTCATCCCAACAAGTGCCCTCCTTGATGTCTATCACCCATTTAGCCCATCCCCCAACCAAACACCCTGCTAGTAACCTTCAGTTTATCCTTTGTATTTAAGAGTCTCTTATGGTTTGTCTCCCTCTCAGTTTTTATATTATTTTTGCTTCCCTTCCCCTTATGTTCTATTGTGTTTCTTAAATTCCACCTGTAAGTGAAATCATATAATATTTGTCTTTCTCTGACTTATTTCGTTTAGCATAAGCCATGTTGTTGCAAATGGCAAGATTACATTTTTTTTTTGACCACCAAGTAATAATTCCATTGAGTATATATACTACATCTTCTTATCCATTCATCAGTCAATAGACATTTGGGCTCTTTCTGTAATTTGGCTATTATTGATAGTGCTGTATAAACATTGGGGTGCACATGCCCTTTTGAATCAGTTTTTTTGTATCCTTTGGATAAATACCAAGTAGTGCAATTGCTGGGTCATAGGGTAGTTCTTTTTTTAAATTTTTGAGAACCAGAGTGGCTGCACCAGTTTCATTCCCACCAGTAATGCAAGTGTTCCTCTTTCTCCACATCTTTGCCAACATCTGTCATTTCCTGATTTGTTAATTTTAGCCATTCTGACAGGTGTGAGGTGGTATCTCATTGTGGTTTTGATTTTATTTCCCTGATTATGAGTGAAGTTGAGCATTTTTTCATGTTTATTAGCCAGCTGGTTGTCTTCTTTGGAAAAATATTCATGGCTTTTTCCCATTTCTTCACTGGATTATTTGTTTTTGGGTATTGAAATTGATAAATTCTTTATAGATTTTGGATACTGACCCTTTATGTGATATAGCATTTGCAAATATCTTCTCCCATTCCATTGGTTGCCTTTTAGTTTTGTTGATTGTTTATTGTGCAGAAGATTTTATCTTGATGAGGTCCCAAAAGTTCATTTTTGCTTGTGTTTCCCTTCCTTCTGGAGACATGTCAAGTAAGAAGTTGCTGTGGCTCACAGAGTTTGTTGCCTGTTTTCTCCTCAAGGATTTTGATGGCTTCCTGTCTTACATTTAGGTCTTTCATCCATTTTGAGTTTATTTTTGTGTATGGTATAAGAAAGTGGTCCGAGTTAATTCCTCTGCATGTCTCTGTCCAGTTCTCCCAGCACCATTTGTTAAAGAGACTGTCTTTTTTCCATTGGATATTCTCTCCTGCTTTGTCAAAGATCAGTTGGCCATACATTTGTGGGTCCATTTCTGGGTTCTCTATTCTGTTCCATTGATCTATGGGTCTGTTTTTGTGCCAGTACCATACTGTCTTGATGATTATAGCTTTGTAATACGCCTTGAAGTCTGGAATTGTGCTGCCTCCGGTTTTGGTTTTCTTTTTCAGGATTGCTTTGACTATTCAGGGTGTTTTCTGGTTCCATACAAATTTTAGGATTGTTTGTTTTGGCTCTGTAAAGAATGTTTTTGTTATTTTTTTTTAACGTTTATTTATTTATTTATTTATTTTGGGACAGAGAGAGACAGAGCATGAACGGGGGAGGGGCAGAGAGAGAGGGAGACACAGAATCGGAAACAGGCTCCAGGCTCCGAGCCATCCGCCCAGAGCCTGACGCGGGGCTCGAACTCACGGACCGTGAGATCGCGACCTGGCTGAAGTTGGATGCTTAACCGACTGCACCACCCAGGCGCCCCGAGAATGTTTTTGTTATTTTGATAAGGATTTCATTGACTCTGTAGATTGCTTTGGGTAGTATCGACATTTTAACAATATTTGTTCTTCCAATCCATGAGAATGGGATGTTTTTCCTTTTTTTCATCTAATCCTCAATTTCTTTCATCAGCTTTCTATAGTTTTCAGTGTATAGATTTTCACCTCTTTGGTTAGATGTATTCCTAGGTATTTTATGGGTTTTGGTGCAATTGTAAAATGGGATTGATTGCTTGACTTCTCTTTCTGCTGCTTCATTTTTGGTGCATAGAAATGCAACTGATTTCTGTACCATTGATTTTATATCCTGTGACTTTGCTGAATTCTTGTATCAGCTCTAGCAGGTTTTTTTTTTTGGTGGAGTCTTGTGGGTTATCCACATAGAGTATCTGGTCATCTGTGAAGTGTGAAAGTTTGACTTCCTCCTTGCCAATTTGGATGCATTTTATTTCTTTGTGTTGTCTGATTGCTGAAGCTACGACTTCCAACACTATGTTGAATAAAAGTGGTGAGAGTGGACATCCTTGTCATGTTCCTGACCTTAGGAGGAGAGCTCTCAGTTCTTCCCCACTGAGGATGATATTAGCAGTGAGTCTTTCATATATAGCTTTTATGATCTTGAGGTATAATCCTTCTATCCCTACTTTCTTGAGGGTTTTTATCAACAAAGGATACTGTATTTTGTCAAATGCTTTTTCTGCATTTATTGAGAGGATCATGTGGTTCTTATCCTTTTATTAATGTGATGTATCACATCAATTTATTTGTGGATATTGAACTAGCCCTGCATTCCAGGAATAAATCCCACTTGATCCTGGTTAATAATATTTTTAATGTATTGCTGGATCCAGTTTGGTAGTATCTTGTTGAGGATTTTTTCATCCCATGTTCATCAGGGAAATTTCTCTTTTTTAATGGGGTCTCTGGTTTCAGAATAAAGGTATTGCTGACTTTGTAGACTGATTTTGGAAGTTTTCCTTCCATTTCTATTTTTTGAAGCAGCTTCAAAAGAATAAGTATTCTTATTTAAATGTTTGGTAGAATTCCCCTGGAAATCCATCTGGTCCTGGCTTTCGTTTTTTGGGACATTTTTTATTACTGGTTCAATTTCTTTACTGGTTATGGGTCTGCTCAAGTTTCTATTTCTTCCTGTTTCAGTTTTGGTAGTTTATATGTTTCTAGGAATTTGTCCATTTCTTCCAGATTGCTCAATTTGTTGGCATATAATTGCTCATAATATTCTCTTATTATTGTTTGTATTTCTGCAATGTTGGTTGTGATCTTTTTCATTCGTGATTTTATTTATTTGAGTCTTTTTCTTTTTGATCAGTCTGGCGAGGGGTTTATTGATTCTGTTAATTCTTTCAAAGAAACAGCTCCTGGTTTCAATAATCTGTTCTACTGTTTTATTTTTCAATATCATGTATTTCTGTTCTAATCTTTATTTCCCCCTTTTTCTGCTGGCTTTGGGCTTTATTTACTGTTATTTTTCTAGTTCTTTTAGGTGGAAGGTTAGGTTGTGTTTTTGAGAACTTTCTTACTTCTTGGCAAAGGCCTGGATTGCTATATACTTCCATCTTAAGATGGCTTTTGCTGCATCCCAGAGGTTTTGGGCTGTCATGTTTTCTTTTTCATTGACTTCCATGTATTTTTAATTTCCTCTTTAATTTCTTGGTTAACCTATT